GACTCAAAAAAATAAAATACAAAAAATCTTGTACAAGCAGTCCTAGCCATGTGATAATAAATTAAAATATAAATAGCAAAATGTGTATAAACAGATAACAAGAGCCCCAGGACAGGAGAGCAGGGCTGAGCCATCTTTCCCAGCAGCCACCACCCATGGGCCATGGGCCAAGGATTCAGGGCCCTTGTCGCTCCCAGTTCAAGCGGCATTGGAAGCCTGGTGACACCGTCCCTGGGTATGGAGCTTTAAGACCACTCTTCCCTGTTCCCCAGGGACCGGTCACAGCATTTGGCCTCCTGCCCACTGGGACTGTCGCCTTCAGGCCACTCTCCCAGGGCTCTGGGCTGCCTGCAGCGTGGGCCAAGCCCTGCCTTTCCCCAGGTCCTCAGCTCATGCATGAATGTGTGGCTGCCTTGGAAGGGGGGCCGATCCTCACAGGCAGTGGACAGTTCACCCTGGGTCTTTTCATTTGTTGGCTTTTCTATGTAGAAGCCCCAGCCCTTGGCAGTGGCAAATGTGGGGGTGGGGTAAGGATGACCATGAGAGTGGTCATTTCCCATGATACCTCATCTCAGAAACCGTACTGGGGGCTGCCGCTCCATTCACATGTGCGCCCCGCTTCCCCAGCCCCCAAGGGTCAGGCACGTGCTGCCCGGCTCCCTGCAGCCCGCTTCCTGCCTCGCACAGGTAGGTCCACACAAGTACAAGCTGCAGAAGACGTCCCGGCGGCTCCTCCAAGCATCTTCAAAGAAAAAGCCATTAAGTCACACTCGGTGGGTTGGTGAAGGTTACATCTGCTCATGAGTAACAGCATCGAAACGAAGAAGAACCGGTCATCGCACCAGCCGGCCACAAGCGAGTGCTGGCAGTTCAGTGGTGGGGGTGACAAGCGGTGCCCCCACGGAAGAACTGCAGAGCCCCTGAGGCTGTGGCGGGACCCAGAGTGTCTGGGCGAGGGCTCTGGGCAGAGTGGGCACCCGCCTTGCCCCGCCTTCGGGTCCTTGGCTAATACTGGGCAGACACAACCGTTCTCGTCTGCCCGCTGGGGCCTCCCGGAGTCCCTTGCTGAGAAGGAAGGCGATTGGCTGCCTGCGCTGACATCAGCAAGCACACCAGTGCTGAGAGTTTACAACACGAGGCTGGATGGTGACCTTGGCGGTGGCAGCAGCCATTTGTCACGAATTGCTTCCTCAGCGTGGGCCTTGGGCTGGCGTTCACAGTCCTGCGGCATTTCGCCCATGCCCCACGAGGCACAGCCTCGCACCACCACCTGGCAGGCAGGACGCGGGGCTCAAAGCTCGTGGGCACCTGCCCAAGCGCTGAGGCCACACCCCAGATTGACACCTGGGGCTTCCACCTCAAGCCTGTACACTGTGGCCCTACCCTGCTGCAGGGCATGGGGCATGCATCTGTGCAAGCCGGCAAGCCGCGAGTGCCAGAGTCCCCAAGAGCAGTCACCTGCTGACAATGAAGACCATCATAGCTGTTCACAGGGCACCAGGTAGGGTCGGGCACAGCACCGTCACTTTATGCACCGTGCAGTCACCAGGACAGACCCCCATGCCAGCTCACGCCCTCCAGCAAGGTCGGCTGCCGGTCTGAATGAGTGTGTTGGGCGCAACAGGGGCCCAACGATCAGCCAGGGCTGGAGACCCATGCGCTGCCAGCCTCCCGAGGTCCTGCCGGTCTCCCCAGATGCTGCCAGACATCCCAAAGTGCTGCCAGCCTCCCCACGTCTGGACTGGGCTTCTTGCCCGTGCCAGGTCTCCGTTTGGGCATATTTGCTTGATTTCAATTTGGCAAGCAGAGTGCGGCTTAGGCGATGTTTTTACGGAGCACTGTCTCAGGTGTGAGCAGTTCTTGTTAGTCTCGGAGGCCGCCCACCCACGAGTCAGTCTTCCTTGCCAGCTCATCCTGGGTGGACAGTGCTTGCTGAAGCCAGAGCTTCCGCTAGGCCAGTGCGGAGGGGCCTCTCCTGGGGATGGGGTGCCCAGCGTCAGGGGGTTCAGAACATGCCAGCCTGGCGCCGCCTGTCTCCATCTTACTAATGGGCAAACCACAGCCCGGGAGGCCAGCTCTCCAGCGAGGCCTCAGGGACAGAGGTGAACATAAGGCCCACAGCTCCTGAATAAAAATTCTCACTAATTCCATAGAAACCTGCCAGAAAAATGAGACTTTTTTTTTAAAAAAGAGCTGTTATCTTACTATGTTGCCCAGGCTGGTCTCAAAACTTCTGGCCTCACGCGACCCTCCTGCCTTGGCCTCCCAAAGTGCTGGGATTTTAGGCGTGAGCCACCACACCTGGTCAGGACATTTAAGAGGATGAAATGAGACAATGTATGATCAAGGCAAAAATGACACAGAAATGTAGCAGTTCAGAGGAGGGAAGGTTAGGTGACCCAGGGAGAGTCCACGGGAAAGCTGAAACTTGAGCTGGGCCTGGGTTGTGTACCAGACACTGCCTGGTGCTAGACAGAGTTGACTGAGTCCCTTTCCTCAAGGTTCTTCTACACTGGGAGAGGGACGGACATCTGAATACGAACTGAGAAGACGGTATTGGACATGACAGTGACAGTGACCCCAGGAGTGGTTCCACTCTTGGCTGGACAGAAGGACAGAGGGATGGCTTGGAGGAAGAAGGTCTTTCAGCTGACCAGGGCAAGGAAAGGCTTTCCGGACAGGACGGCACAAAGGCAGGGAAGCACGAGTCCCTGAGGCACGCGGGGCTGCATGCATCTGGTGTTCCGCAGTGTGAAGTGTGAGACCCGAGAAGCAGGACGCAACACTGCACACATGGCGGGGACCCGGGTCCCCAAGGGCTGAGGGTCACAGGGTCCTGACCAGAGAGCACACTACTGGAGGTTTAAGCAGAGAAAAGGCACAATCAAGCTGGAGTGTGGTGAGCCGGGTATGGTGAGCTGGGTGTGGTGGTGTGTGCCTGCCGTCCCAGCTACTCAGGAGGCTGAGGTAGGAGGATTGCTTGAGCCCAGGAGGTAGAGGCTGCCGTGAGCTATGGTCACACCACTGCACTCAGCCTGGGTGACAGAGTGAGACCCTGTCTCTAAGAAAACATTTTTAAAGCTTTTTTAAAGAAGAGATCTTTGACGATGGTGGCCTAGAAATGGGAAGAGATCAAGAGGTCAATCTGAGAGTGCAGACTAAGCAGGCACTGGGAGAAAATGGAGGCTCTCTTGCAGTGGGGTCTTGATTTTCCCTTCCGGCTGCTCCTGGGGGTGGGGGACTGGCTCAGCAGGGGCCCGGGTGCTCAGTGGGAAGACAGGCCCCTCCCTAATGAGCCAGCCATGGCTCGAGGCTCGTCGCCCCACCTCCCTATGGGCCACAGCCTGGCCTCCCCTCTCTGAAAGTGTGGGCGGCTGAGTGTCCGCTGCCCTTGTCCGGTAACTTATATTTGCAATATCTGCAGCTGGTGTCTGTTCCCTTCATGGGCCAGGAATTCTGTTCCCGGGAAAATTGTACATGGCAGGTACCATGGTAGAAGGGAAGACTTGCACCCTGGGCCCATGTCCCCGGCCCTTATGGGGACATCGTTAGTTGATACAGCAGCTCAGAGAGTCCCGGTCAGGCTCAGCCCATGGGTCAGACAGCACATTGGCTCTCTGCCGCTACGTCACAGGTCTCCCCAGAATAGTAGCTTCAAGCCACAACAAACCGTCCCCACAATGTGTGCGGGCCAAGCATTCAGGCGCAGTTCAGAGGGTTCTGGCTCCAAGTCCCTGTGAGGTTCTCAAGGTATCGGCCAGACTGCAGTCTGAAGGCTGGACTGAGGCTGGAGGCCCCTCATGCTGGCACGTGGGGCCGGTGGTGGGAGGCCTCAGCTCCTGGCCCCGTCCGCATGTCGCTCAGCTGCAGATCCTCGTGGCACGTGGCAGGCTTCCTCCAGAGCCAGTGACCTCAGCGGAGACAGCCGGAAGTCATCTGCTTTGGAACCGAGCCTCAGAAGGGACTCAGCATCACTGCTGCCACGTCACATGAATGGCTGGAGTCAGTCCCTCAGTCCTACCTACGTTCCAGGGGAGGGGCTTTAGACTTCACCTTTCAAGGAAAGAAGAAGCAAAGAACTCGGGGACTTTTCGCAGCTGCCTGCCTGAGGGGGAGCCCTGTTTTTCTCTGCCACTCCTCTCCCTCTCTGCTTCACTTATGACACCAGGTTGGGGGCTGGGCAGTCCCACACCCATTCTCCAGTTTTCTGTGGTGTCTCCAGGACACCGCCAGGAGTCCTGTAGTTCAGTGATGTCAACCAGAGTTAGTGTCAGACCCCACCGGCTACGCGCTTGTCCCACAAGGCTGCCTCCTCTTCGGATGCCCGTCGCAAGTCCAGGATGTCCTTGGTTTCCCGGACCAGCTGCCTGCAAGCTGGAGGATCCCCTAGTCCTGTCCTCGGTTCCCTCATTTGCTAGAACGGCTTTCAGAACCCAGGAAGAGTGAACATACTACTGCCAACGTGTGACAAAGGTTGTTCTGAAGAACACAAGTGCAGAGGAAGAGACGTGTGGGGTGAGCCCTGGACGGGCCTCGTGGAGTTGGGGTGCTCCTCACACGGTTGTGCTCGCCATCCCAAAAGCCCTCCAAGCGCCATCTTTGGGGGGGTGTGATCTGCGATTAGCTCCAGCTCCTCTCACCTCTCCGGGGCATGGGGATGGGGTGGATGACCATGGCTTGATGTTTCTGGGGACCAGCCCCACCCAGGAGCCCACCATGAGCCACCTCATTAGAACACAAGCCATGCCTGTCACACAGGAAATGTCAAGGATCAGCAGCTCTGTGACAGGACCAGGTCAAGGACCACTCGTCAGGACGGGAGATACACCCAGCACCCCTCTCTCAGGCAATGCCCGGGTTTAGGGGTGCTCTGCGTCAGGAACCTGGCAGAGACAAACACAGATTTCTTCTCATGTCACGCGACTCCAGACAGGAAGACAGAAACCACCCTAGATACTCCCAACAAAACGGGATCTTATACAAGCAACAAGTGCTTGTCACTAAGGGCTGGGTGGTCTCACACTAGTGTCGGGTTACCTCCCCATGGCTGACTTCCAGGGGATCAAAGCGGTCAGGACACTTGGGGACCCACTGCTAAGGTCCCCGGGCTGGCAGCTGGTGGCTGCTACAGGGGAGAGTGACTCTGCCTTCCTTTCGCCGTCCGGTCCTCGTGCGGGTGCATCCTGTGGGCAGCGCCCTGCGGGCAAAGGCATCCTGAAGTGTGCTTCCCAGGCTCCTGGCCCCTGCAGAGACAGGGTGGGGATGGGTGTCAAGGACGCATCCACGCTTGGGTGGGATGGGGCAGCCCCATCATGCCTGAGGAGCCCCACCCCATCTCTGGTAGGCTTGGGGTGTCCAAGGCTTTATAGAAGAAGGGGGCTCGGTGGGGAAAGAATATGGTGGAGACCTCACAAAGTCGGAGACCTGGAGAGATGCTGCCTAGCCGGGCAGCCACAACATGCAGGCATCCCCTAAGGTGACTGGAGAAATGCCTAGGGCTGGCCCATAGTTTGTTCTGGAATGTTCTCACTGGAATGAAAGTTCAGTGGTCTGCAGGCTATACAGTATTGCAGAAAACACACCCCCATTGAAAAGGGCATCCAGAGAAGCTGGGCGCAGGCTCACACCTGCAATCCCAGCACTTTGGGAGGTTGAGCCAAGAGGATTGTCCTGGGAGCTCTCAAGAGAGGGTGCCATTCGGAGCTGGGCCCTGTCTCCAGACCTGTTCCACACTGGGTCCTCTGGAAGAGAAGGCTCGAACGGGCCACTCACTGACACAGGTGAGGGCCGTCTTTCTCTCTCTGGAGGCTCTCTGTGAAGAGTCTCACTTCCTGAAACCTCCAGAAAGACTGTCCAGGGCACAGAGCCAGCCAGGGTCCCCGTGGACTGCAGGACAAGTTTAAGGATGGCGAGGCTGACCGTGGGAGCCCTGCCACCCCAAGCCACTTACCCACTCATCGGGCAAAGGCAAGATCCGCGGCCGATGCTCCCTCTCATAGGCTGCGTTTTCCAGGACACTTTTTGCCCTTGGAGGAGAACCACCTCGAGAGAGGCGTGATGAGGTCCAGAGGAGGCTGCTGTCACCACTGCATCCCAGGCATGTGCCGTGTGGGCAGGGTGGCGTTTCAGGGCCCACTCGCAGTCAACAGTCTCCCCCAGGTCCCCAAGGGACAATTCTGTGTCTAGCTATGTCGGGCACAGGTTGATAAAAGTAGGGGAACATGGCTGTTTCGGGCATCTTGGTTGCCATACACGTGGAAAACGTGACCACTGGTTATGAAAGTGATGCCCCGTGGCTCACCCTTCAGGGTCATGAGAGGATACTAGCAGCCATTTTAATACGAGGCAGAATGGGACAGCCTGTCTCCAAGATACGCAAGTATCATTAGGGGCCGAAGCAGGATGCTGCGTGGGGTGGAGCATGTGCTGCCAGTGCTGGGCATCATCTGAGGTGTGTGGCCTACTGCAGTAGCCACTGACCCACCAACGTGGCCATCTCCGTGTAACAAGAAATTACTGCAAGCTAAATGCAGAGGAAAGTCAGCCCTTCCATCAAACTCACCACGTGTCAAGGGCTCCATTGCTACGTGTAACCAACGGCTGCGCTGCTGGGTGGCACAGAAGCCTGCCTTCCTTGTGGCCATTCTGTTGGCAGTGCTAACCTGGAACACTCTGGAAGGACACAGGACACGGGGAGAGGTGGTGGCCTTCAGGGAGGGCAAGTGGGAGGTGGCAGCACCCTGCGCCCTTCTGTACCTTTTGAATTTTGTATCATGTGTTTGCATTACAGTGCTTGTTGTTTCCCAACACAGGGTCTTACTCTGTTGCCCAGGTTGGAGTGCAGTGGCATGGTCATAACTCACCACAGCCTCCAATTCCTGGCTTCAAGCGATCCTCCCACTCCGGCCTCCTGAGTAGCCAGGACTACAGATAGACACCACCACCACACCTAGCAAATTTTAAAATTATTTTCATACAGACAGAGGTCTTGCTATGTTGCCCAGGCTGGTCTCAAACTGCTGGGCTTAAACAATTCTCCCGCCTTGGCCTCCCAAAGTGCTGGGATTACAGGCATGAGCCACCACACCTGACCAGGCCTTAGCTATTAAAAAAAATTTTTTTTATTTAACAAATTGGGAATAAGGAATCCCCATCCAGGATCATTGTAGTGGCTTGGTGGTTCCCAGGAAATCACTCTGCCATTGCCTAAAATGAAATAAGCTAACAGCAGTTATCCTTCTGCATGTAGTTGTTTTTCACAGCTTAAACTTTCCCGCCCCTGCTACCGTCTCTCCACTCTTAGGAGCTCACAGGCAAGATGTTATGAGTACATTATATCAGAAGCACATGCACTTCGTTTAGCTGTGAAGAGCCCTCACCCCCAGTCCTTGGGGCAGACCCCCCAGGCTCCCCCCTCCTAGGCCTGAGCCCTCGGATGTGTTTAGTTTTGACTTTTGTATTCCTTAGCGGCCTTTGGTGGCGGTTGAGTATGAGGGGCTGGCCTCCCACCTGCTGGGAGAGGGCTGGGAGGAGCTGGGAGTGCACTGATGGGCGGCCATCTGTCCCTGCAGATGTCATGTGATCCCCACAGTGCTGTAGCCAGAGTGGAGATACTCTCAGTGGTGGAGATTGGTTGGACCCCCGGGCTGCCATCCCGGTAGGGGGCGAGGGAGGGCCGGGCTGGGGGCTGCAGAGGACGCCCGGGCATCGGCTCGTCTCGCTTTGAAATGCATGGGCGCTGTCCCAGCAAGAGAGGTCTCAGGTCAAGAGACAGTTGGAGCAGAAGCAGGCTGAAGAGATCCTGCCCTTTCTAGGTCATCTGATTGGTGATAAAATGGGAATTTACAAAACGCAAGGGGGATTGGAGGCAGATTACCTGAAGGCTGAGGATTCTACTCCTGGCCTCAGGCCATGATTCGCCACAGCTTGGCCAGTGCACCAGACCGGTCAGAAACAAACATTCCCAGGCACCAGGTTGCTGTTGCCGTAATGGGGGAAGTTGGTAGCTTACAGGTATCTGAACGTTCATCTTGTATTTTCTAGAATTTTCCAAACCATTGTTTGTGACCAGTTCACCAATGTCCCCTCACACCCTCTCTCAGGAGACCTTTGTACTCCACTGGGCCCGGGCTGTCTCAGGTCTCTGTGGATTGAGCTCTGTCAGTTCCCTTGGAGAGGCAGGAGGTTGGGTGGTTCAGCATACCTGGGGTGGCTTTTGGGCAGAGGCCAGAATGTCCCTTTGCTCCCCACGACTCCTCCCTGATGCAGAGGACTTTCAGCTGGAAAGAAGCTGCTTGATAGGCGCCACTGGAAGGTCCAGCTCCACCTGACTCCCAGCCGGCTTTCATGCAAGGCCCCAGGCCAACTCAGCCTTCCAGCAGGGCAGTGTGGCCAGGCTCCCAGGGTGTGAGTTCCCTGAGGGCATGCCTTACTTACCTCTGCACACCCCAACCCAGCACCTAGTAGGCACTCAGCTAAACGAAGCGTATGTGCTTTTGATATAATGTATTTTTTTTTTTTGAGTTGGAGTCTCATTCTGTCACCCAGACCGGAGTGCAGTGGCCACTCCCGGCCACCGCAGCCTCGACCTGCTGGGCTCCGGCGATCCTTCCGCCTCAGCCTTCTGAGTAGCCGGAATTACAGGCGTGCGCTACCACGCCCGGCTGATTTTTTGATTTATTGTAGAGATGAGGTCTCGCTGCCCAGGCGGGTCTCGAATCCGCGGGCTCAGGCAATCCACTCACCTCAGCCTCCCAAAGGCGCGGGATTACAGGCTGAGCCACCGAGCCTCGCTGATATAATGTATTAATAACATCTTGCATTTAAAAGAACATTTTACATGAGACTTTCAAGATTAAGAACTGGTATGCTTCAAAGGACACTGTCAAGAAAGAGAAGGCTGGGTACAGTAGCTCAAGCCTGTCATCCCAGCACTTTGGGAGGCCGAGGCGAGAGGATTGCCTGAGCCCAGGGGTTTGAGACCAGCCTTGGCAAGTTGGTGAGACCTTGTCTCTACAATAAATCAAAAAATTAGCCAGGCATGGTGGCACGAGCCTGTAGTTCCAGCTACTTGGGAGGCTGAGGTGGAAGGACTGCCTGAGTCCAGCAGGTC